CTCCTTCTTTCCTTTTTTGACTATTAGATATTTAAAGGGCAGGAACATTCAGGGCACCTGGGTGGCTCAGTCATTTGAGCATCTGACCCCTGATTTTGGCTCAGGTCATGATCCTAGGGTTGTAGGATCGAGCCCCATGTTGGGTTCCTTGCTCAACATGGAGCCTGCTTAAGATTCTGTCTCTCTCTCTCTCTGTCTCTCTCTCCCTCTGCCCCTCCCCTGCTCATGCATGTGCACACTCTCTCTCCCCCCCAAAATAAAATGAAATAAAGGACAGGAACGTGTGATGTGTGTTGGGTGTGTACTTGATGTTTGTTGGGAAGCAGGACTGGGGTGGGGGGTGGGGGGATGCTGTGGACATGGGCCCTGGGCCAGGCTGCAGGATGTGAACGTGGCCCCACTACCTTCTGGAGGTGTGACCTTGACCAAGTCAATATTCTTCTCCAAGCCTCTGTTTCTTCATTGATAAAGGCATTGACCTCAATGACCCCCAAGGTTCCATATTTGGTGGTGACTGTGGCAAACTGCAGGGTGGATAGAAGGAGGTGACTTGGCTCCTCTTTGTGCCCTATTCTCCCAAGAACAAGCCCAGGGACCTGGGAATGAGCTGGGGAACGGCTCGGGGGCCCTCACCCACACCTTTCCCTCAGGCTCCTTCCACTTTGCCTGAATGAATGATGATGGACAACTATCTTCTTCCCCTCCCCATACCTGTACCCCCCCCCCACCTGCATCACAGACTTATAGTGGGCAGAGAAAATGCATCAAAACACAAGGCCAAGGCTCACTGTAGTTTCAAGCACCGCCTCCACTTACAGCTAAGTTCCTATTGACCAGGTGGCCCAGGTCCCCGGGCGTGTCCGTGTTCCGGATATCCACGTCATGGGGCGACACATAAAGCTTTGTGTTGTTCCGGTCAAAGAACTCAACTTCCGTGAGACCCACCCAGGACGTATGGCCCCAGTTGGACAGGATTTCCATGGTCACGTAGACGGCATCTTCGATCTCTCCGCCTCTTGTTCTCAGTTTGTCCTTAACAGACATAAAAATAACGCTAACAGGTCAAAACACGACAGGCTGGATTCAGCTCACCACTACACAACAAGTTATTTAGCCACTCAGTGCCTCAGTTTCCCCATCCATACAATGAGGATAAGAACAGCACCCATTACATATAGTTATTACAAAGATTAAATGAGCTCATATTTGAAAAGCATTTGAAACAGTTACTGTGAACAGTTGGTATTTTCCATAAGAGTTTGCAAGTAACAAAAAAAATGTTTAAAAGGCATCACATTGTGGCTGAACGTGCTCTTCTCTTCCTCATTACCAAGTGTTCATGGCCTATCGGCTGAGTTGGGGAAGGTGTTATGGGCTAAATTGTGTCCCCCACCTCCCCAAATTCAGATGCGAAAGCCCTAACCCCAGTACCTGAGCATGTTCCTATATTTGGAGACACGACCTTTAAAGAGGTAATTAAGTTAAAATGAGGCCGTGAGGGTGGGCCCAAATCCAATGTGAACCATGTCCTTAGAAGAAGGGGAAATCTGGGGGCTCCTGGGTGGCTCAGTCGGTTAAGCATCCGACTCTTGATGTCTGCTCATGACGAGATCTCACGGTTTGTGAGTTTGAGCCCCACGTGAGGCTTTGCAACGATGGCACGGAGCCTGCTTAGAATTTTCTCTCCCTCTACCCCACTCATCCTCTCTTTCTCTCTCTCAAAATAAATAAATTTTAAAAATTAAAAAAAAAAAGGGGGGGGGGTCGTAAATCTGCCCAGGAGAAACACCAGAAATGCTCATGCACACAGGAAAGATGGTGTTGAGACACAGCCAGAGGACGGCCATCAGCAAGGCAGGAGAAGAGGCCTCAGGAGCCATCAAACCTGCCCACACCTTGACCTTGGACTTCAGCCTGCAGAACTTGAGAGAAATACATCTCTGCTGTTTAGGCCACCACCCCGTCTGAGGTGTGGCTACCCTAGCAAATGAATTCAGATGACACCATCTCTCTGACAATCCCGTCACGGAGACTAAGTGAGATACGGATACTGGGGGAAGTCCCTGTCATGGGTCCTGGCCCCCCGTGTGTGCTCCCTGAGTGTCCACTTCCTCCCATGTTTTCCCTTCACTGATTTTAGCGCCGCCTCCTTCGTGGGCTGGCTTTCCAGTCCGAGGCCGCGTGAATGCCATCAATAAACAGCCACGCTGCGGAATGGCTTCCCGAGGCCCCTTCGGGCCCCGACTGCAGTGCTGGTCGCCACGGATCAGTCCCTCATAAAATGGGGCATTCCCTGCGTGCACATGCCCTCTGTTAATTAGCACTGGTAATCTGCAATGGTTCTGTGAGCAGGGAGTTGAGCAAATGAACAGCAACTGTTCCCTACTTACTTTTTTAATTAATAGCCAGCGAGACGTGCCATCGCCCTCAGCGTGTGTTTGGACGAGCCTTGATGGCCACGCAACGGGGATGGGGACGGGGAGGGAGGGAGGTCAGCTCCCAGCTCCCAGAGGGAACACAGGGCCCGCTCTTACCAGCAGACCCCGCAGGCACCGCCTGCTCTGGGCAGAGCCGGATGGGGCCCTGGCCAAGGCCCTCTGCCGCCCTGGGCCCGAGTCCCAGACTCGAAGGACAGTGATGAACCGAAGCCGGCCTCGCTCAAGTGGGGCGGCGGGGGGAGGGTGAGGAGGCTAATGAGCTGCTCCGCCAGGTGAGCGGCGGGAGGCATGAAGGGAGGTTCACCTTGGCTGCCGGCAGCAGGGGGAGGTCCAGATGGGAGGCGAGCTGCCTCGCAGAGGGGCCGGCGGATCCCACAGCCCGTGCAATCTAAAACGTGCGACGTCCTGCAGCGGGGCTTCTAAATGAAGCAGCCGGAGGGTCTACTGACTGAGGACGCGTCACAACCTGCCAGTGTCTCGAGTCGATGGCCCCCCTGCTCCTGACTCGCTCGATTTAGGATCCCTCGTGGGGGTCTAAGGTAAATGCGGGTTGGGCCGCTCCGGGTCTCCGCACTCCCTGCCCTCCTCTCTCGTGTCTCTTCTCAGCCACGACGATGGTCCCAGAGGGGGAAGGACCCCTTCTCAGCCCAAGGAGGAGCCCGACTGCTCCAATGAAACAGCGTGGCCTGTC